TTTTGTGGAGACTCTTTTATAAGTCCCCAGAATAGTTGTGTATTTTTTTTTGAGTTAATCACTTATACACTGCCAGTGTAAGGTTTTTTTACACTGGCAACCAATTATATCTTTTAATTGTGCCATGTCACTATAAATACATTTATTTTTTAACAGTGACATGGCACAATTAAAAGATAAATTGGTTGTCAGTGTAAAAAAACTTTACACCGATAGAGTATAGGTGATTAACTCTTTTTTTTTTTTTTCCCAGAATGACAAGTTTGAATTTTTCCGAATCTCATTGCCCTCCTTGGTTGCATTTGGTGTATATATAAATGCAGTAATTTGTCTTTTCCAATAATTTGTGTATGATACAAAATGAATATGTTTTACCTTATTTTCTCTTCGTGTAAGTGTTTATTAAGATATTTATCTGTATTGGAACCAATACTCTTGGATATTTCAATTTGCTTCATGTATCCTTATTTGATACCTGAACTCTTGGATACTTTACCCATGCATGTTATGCTATCTTTAATTGCCTAAATGATTTGTGTTAAAAAGGATTTTCTTGAGCACCCCTTCTATTGTTTTCTATTTTATTTTAAATTTACTCTGCAACAAATAGATTTCTTCATACATGTGATTGTGCTTGACATTTTCCCCTAAACTTAATCTAGGTTTTTGCTGAATTGCAAAAGGCAAAGGAAGAGATTGAAAATTTGAAAGAAGAAGCACTTGCCAACAAAACTCACATGCTGCAGGTTCTTATTATTATTTTCAAACAAATTATATTTAATTTGTAATTCAACTAACTGGTTGTGTTTAAACTTTACACTGAAGTATAAGAGCATCTCTGAGGCAAATGAAGATGCTATGAAACAGATAGAAAAGGCTCATGAAATTTTTAAAACCGAGGTATTCTAGCATATTGAATCTTGAAATATTTTTTTCCATGTAATTGCTATTGTGCTTACATATTTTGTTTGTATTTTTTGTTAACAAAATAGGCTGACAATGCAAAGAAAGTTCTAGAATCTGAACTAAATTCACTTAGACAGAAGATGTTAGAGATTGAAAATGAATCTTGTTTGAAATATGAAGAAGTTGCTTCAGAAACTGTGGGAAAGGATGAGGCTCTTACATCTGCTATGGCTGAAATCACAAATCTTAAAGAAGAAATTTTAACTAAATCGTAAGTTTTATCATAGCTCTGCAGTGTTAAATTTTCTGCACGTTTGGTTTCACATTTCTTTCATTTTGTCTGCATGTAGTTCTCAAATTTCAGAAATGGAAATTCAGATCTCGGGTTTGAAAGAAAACCTGGAGATGGAGCATCAGAAATGGCGGGCAGCTCAAACCAATTATGAAAGACAGGTACATGGTTCTTGATATAGTAAAATATATTTACTTTAGGTTAAAATCTTATTTTTAGTCTATGTAATTTCACTTACTTTACCTTTTATTCCATATAGTTTTAAAATACACTTTTTTTGTTCATATACTCATCTTTTTCAATCCTTTTTAGTACCTATAGATTAAGATAAATCTTTTTATTTCTATACTTACAGTTTTTAATTCTCTTAATCCCTATCATTTATTTGTTTTTTGTAATGTCTTTTTTGTTGACGTGATAAAGATATTAATTTAACTTTTTATATTTGATCTCAAATTTATTTTATTAGAATTACTCTAAATTAGGTTCTTTGACGCATTGTGTTACTTTTGTACCTTCACTTGCGACATCCATTATTGAGACACCCACTTTCTTACTCTTACAAAATTGAAGACCTTTACTACATCAATACAAAACAGATACTTTTACAAAATATTAACAATAAAGACTAAAAAGATTAAGATCTGCAAATATATAAACTAAAATTTTTTTATCTTAAACTATAGGGTTAAAAATGATTGAAAAAGATAAGTATAAAGATTAAAAATGTCTAATTTAAACTATAGGGAATAAAAGGTGAAGTGAGTGAAACTATAGGGACAAAAAATATTTTAGCCTTTATTATATTAGATTGTTGCGTGAATTTAGTCGAATGTTGATTTTGCCAGGCTGTCTGATTTTTGAGCAATCTTACTTTTTAATTTGGTAGAGATTATAATATTTTGATTCCTGTTGCTGCAAATTATTTAGTAGATGTTGGGTTTTTCTTTTTTTGTTTTCTTAAATGTTCATTAACTATAATCATAAAAAAAAAATGCTCGTTGACTAAACTAGTTTTATTTTCTCTGTAGTTCCTTTTCTTTGTCTCTGTTTTTCCCTGTTGTTTTGCCTTTATTGAGTATATTTTATCCTTTAACCTTTTATATTCAAATCACTTTCGTTCTCAAATAAATTATCTTGTTATGTCAAATAAATTAATTAGTCTTGCTGCTTAATGTGCTTGGGAAAATGAAAGTCATGCTGAAATCCATTCGTTGTTGTTTGAATTGCTAACATCTGAAGATGTGAACATATTTTTTCTAAACAATTTTGGAAACTGTTGAAGATAACATATTGCATTATCTCTGCTTGTTATGATTTCTTTTCATTGTTTTTAATCTTAGATGTTTATTGTTCAGGTTGTTCTCCAGTCCGAAACTATTCAGGAGTTGACGAAAACATCTGAAGCACTAGCCCTGCTGAAGGAGGAGGCATCCGAATTACGGAAACTAGCCAATACTCAGAAAATTGAAAATGTAAAAAATTTCCTATTTAACCCCTGATTTATTTTTATTATCTGTTTCTTTTTCAATACTTTTAACACAAATACATTAGTTTTTGAGGTGCTTATTATTGTACCCCTTATGATTACCTGTTTTTGGTGTGATTTATGCTGTTTTTCTGGATTGCCATTAGATTAACATACTATATCTTCTGCTGCTTTGCCTTTTGGCTGTCATGCATTTTTAAAGGGATTCAAAAGCTTAAACCTAAGTGATATTTTCATATGAATTGTTTAATTATTGCTATTCAATGTTAGTGACACATGCTCAAGAATAAATGATTAGTTGTTTATTTCTTAAGTAATGAGTGTTGTTCTAAAAGAAGCATTATTGTATCACTATTATAGTGCAACAACAGGAAAATTATTTTGATATTTTTATGTATTTCTTGTTGAGTTGTTATTGATGTATTGCTTCATTTGTTATGAAATAGTTGATATTGATGTATTGCTTCATTTGTTATGTGTTTGTATTGTACTAGTTGTTATTTATTCCAATAGTTCTAGCTAATTAGGGAAACAAATGATGAAAAGATAAAAAGGAAACAAGTTAATGGATAATTTAGGTCATAATAAGATATTTTCATATATTCTAACAGTTCCCCTCAAGTTAAAGCTTACTAAGCTATAAGCATAATAGAAACCAAACAAGCCCTGAACTTAGAGGGAGAGTACCATGAGCAGAACAAACCCTCAATGGATGTGAATAGGGAGAGTCCAAAGAACAATGCGAGTTTCACAGTGTGCAGATTGGTTGAAAACTCCCGTGAAGTGCCATGGGTTAGCTGGAATGTTCATTGGTGTGCCATAGGTTAGCTTAGAACTCCATTGGAGTACCATGGGTTGGTTTGAAACTGATGGGAGCTTAGTCAGATGGTTTGCATCTATAATAGAGAAGAAACCATCATCATTTATGAGGGTGAGAAAATAGGGTCACGTAAAATAAAAGGGAATAAAATCGCAAGACTTTCCCCACTTAAACATCACAAAGTTTCGTCATTTGAGCCGGTGAATAAAAGGGGAAACAAGGTTGGTTCGTATCACTGAGCAAGTAGCAGTTGTAAGTGGCCGTTTTTAACCATTATTCATCCTACTCAAAATGTGACATTAAACTGTGACACAACTTGTTATTTATAGCGGTACACTACTGCTCCACACTAGAGCATTGCAATTGCCCAGTTACATAATGCGATAAACTACTATGGAAGTTAGGTTATTTTAGATTTTGAGGTAGAAGAAATGATAAAAGATAAATAATTGCTGATTTGATAATAACCGAATATTAGCAAATTGGGGAAAAAATCATGATAAGAGTTCTAAAGTTGCCAAATTAAGGATACAACACAAAATAGTGGGCTTGTTGGAATTAAGGAGAAAGTTATTGATTTACAATTTGATGGAAAGCAACCTTAATTTTGATCAACCATAGCTCCATTTAGTTTTGGCCTCTTTGGGGGCTGCCTTAATTGGAACATCAAGGGTGGTGGTTTATTTCCACATAGACCAAGGATAAAGTTGATAAAAGCTTCGATAGATTGCATCTTACATGCCAAATTTTTGGAATTGAGTTAGGCCCCAAACACAAATTCTAAGATGGTATAGGAGCTTATCTTATATTAGAATTGTGAGAGCCTTAGAGATTAGAGAAATAAAGAATGAGAGAGACAGAGAAGGATTAACAGAGAAAAGGAAATTGTATTTTCGGTAAGTAAATCTGTAATACAATTATCCTATTTATATGTTTCAATAGCTTCAAAGGAAGCTATAGAAACATTGACCTGTTGAACAGGTAACCAAGCTAAAACTGAAATTAATTGACTGAAAGAATAACCCTATACATTGATATATCTAATACAATATTAAGGAGTAAAGATATACTCCAATATCCCCCCGCAAGATCAAGTGGGGTGAGGCGAAGAGTCGACCAACTTGAGCTTGGTCCGAAGTTCACAAAACCGAGATGGAGACAATGCTTTAGTAAGAATGTCAGCATATTGGTCAATGGCTGGAACATGAACCACTTGAAGGAGATAGGCAGCAACTTTTTCACGAACAAAGAAGAGATCCAGCTTCATATGCTTGGTCCGAGCATGAAGTACTGGATTATGGGCTAATGCAACGGTGCTCATATTGTCACAATAAACAACAGGAGTATGATGGGAAACTTGCTGTTCAGAGAGTAAGGTTTGAATCCACATGACTTCAGCAGTGGCAAGGGCAAGACTTCTGTATTCAGCTTCAGTGCTAGAGCGAGCGACAACTGTTTGCTTCTTGGACCACCAAGAGATGAGATTGGGTCCAACGAAGATAGAAGCACCAGAGGTAGATCTTCGGGGATCAGGATTAGAAGCCCAATCAACATCACAGTATGCATGAATAGACAAAGGAGAGTTAGATGGAGCTGGGTGCAGATGTAATCCCAGGAACATAGTGCCTTTTAAGTATCGAAGAATGCATTTGACAGCAGACCAGTGTTGTTCAAGGGGATTGGACATGAATTGACAAACTTTATTGATGGAGAAGCTGATTTCAGGTCTAGTGATGGTTGCATATTGTAATGCACCAACCACAGATCTGTATAAGGACACATCGTGGAATTTTTCCGAACCTGTTTTAGACAATTTACACCCACTAATCATGGGTGAAGAGATAGGATTAGAGTTTTCCATGTTGGGGCGATTGAGGAGGTAACGAATATATTTGCTTTGAGTTAGGGTAAGTGAGCCATCATAGTTAGATTTAACCTCAATGCCAAGAAAATAATCTAGGCGACCAAGATCCTTGAAGGAGAAGGCTGAGTTGAGTTGGGAAATAATACTCTGTAGGACATAAGAATTATTTCCAGTGATAATAATGTCATCTACATAGACAAGAATGTAGATTACATGGTTGCCATGGGAATAAACCAATAGGGAAGGATCACACTTGCTGATCTGAAAGTTGAGTTGAAACAATGTAGCTTTAAGTTTATCAAACCAAGCACGTGGTGCTTGTTTAAGACCATAAATTGCCTTATGAAGTTTGCAGACTAGAGTCTTATACGATGATTCAAAACCTGGAGGTTGAGACATATATGAGCAGAGGGTGTAATGGCTGATGGTTGTCTTGGCTGAAGCAAAGATGGAAATTGCTACAGGCCATCAAGGCCAACAACTCCCATGAGGAGAGTCTCTTTAGTGTCTTGTGATTTAACCAAACAGAAAGTTGAGTGAAATTCAAAAAAGACATAATTATCTTTGCAGAATTGACTCACACTGATTAGATTTTTGGTAATATTGGGAACATAAAGAAGGTTATTGAGAGTAAGAGAAATGTGAGATCTGAAAGGGGAAGAAAACTCAGTTACACCTAAAGAGTTTATGGGAAGACCCTAGCCATTGGCAATGATGATCTGATCTGGCCCTTCAAAGGGAGTGAATTGCCGTGTATTTTGGGACATGTTGGTGACATGATTAGAAGCTCCTGAGTCTGGATACCACAGATTGGAACCAGGCGAAAAGGAAGTCATAGCCAACGCTGATGGTTGAGCTTGAAGGTTTCCAGTGGGGACAAGGTATGCCTGAGATGAGGTGGGGTTGGGTGGTCGAGAACCCAAAATACCATTGGAAAACCCAGTGGGATGCGTTGCAGGTTGTGAGTAAAAGGGAGAGGGAGTGTACCCAGGGGCTAGGTTGGCAGTTGAGTTGGTGGAAAAGGAATTGTCAAAGGGTAAAACTGGGACAAAATTGCTATCAAACCTGTAATAGCAAGAGGATGCAATGTGGCCATATCGGTGACAGACTTGGCATTGAATGCCAGCAAACTTGCCACGCCCTCGTCCATAGCGATCGTTGGATCGTCCACCACGACCATTCCGTGCACCAGCTCTGCCACCACGGAATGAAGCAAATTGAGAGTCTTGATGGGCAAGATTGGCTTGCGATTGCAACGTGGGGGAATTAGAACTTGAGGAGTTTTCAAGGATATTGGCAGAGATGAGGTTCTTTTTCTTGAATTTCTCAAGGCGCGATTCATGAGCAAGAAGGGTTTCGACTTCTTCTATTGACAGTTCATCAAAACGGTTGTTGATTAGAGAAACAAAGGACTCATATTGCTCCAGAAGACCGTCAAGAACAATATCAAGATGTTCTTTGGGGGAGACGGAATCACCAATGGCGGTGAGGGCATCGACCAGGGATTGAATTCGAAGAAGGTAATCGGAGATTGAACGATTGTTAAGAGTCGTGCTTTGGCATTAGTGTGCGCATGAAAATATGCATGGATCTTGTCCCAAATTTGGAAGGAAGATTTGCACCCAATGACTCGAGTGAGCATGTCCTTGGACATTGATGATTGTAACCAGGAAAGAAGAAACTGATCTTATTGTTCCCAAGCAAGATATTCTTCAGAAATTCGATTGGCATCTCTGTCAGAAATTGAAAGAAATTTTTGAGAAATTTGGGGATTGACCAAGAAATGGTGAAGACGGTGGCCTTTGATGTTAGGTTCAACTTGTTGACACCAAAGAAGATAGTTCTTCGTGTCTAATTTTTCAGAGATAGTGTGCGAGAAGGTGAGGGAAGGGGTTGAGGAGGGTTTGACCGGTGCAACATGAAAGTGGGGTGGTGATTGGGGAGGTATTGTTGAGGAAGACGATGGTGGTTCTTCAGCCATGAGAGGAGACAGACAGTGCAGTCAGGCAGAGAATGAGAAAGGTGGTAAGGATCGACAACTCTATGATACCATATTAGAATTGTGAGTCTTAGAGATTAGAGAAAGAAAGAATGAGAGAGACAAAGAAGGATTAACAGAGAAAAGGAAATTGTATAACTGGCTGAAAGAATAACCCTATACATTGATATATCTAATACAATATTAAGGAGTACAGATATACTCCAATATCTTAACAATTATGTTGGGCTTATCAGGGCACCCATTAACTAACTGTTATGGAGCCACTACAAATTTCCACTTTTTCATACTTCATTCTTTAGATGTCCAACCCTAAACATGAATGGAGTGTGTTGGAGATCCCAAATGACTAGTGATAAGGCCATATTTGTATGAGTGGGAACAATTTTCACCTTACAAGCTGATTTTGTGGACTTAAGTTACACTCTGGCCAAATTAAGATGGTTTCAAAGCTTCTATATCCATTGTTGGGCCATTTGTGTTTGCCAAGTTCCAGGTCGGTAACCTTGGGTGTAAGTGGTCAAATGTAGCTTTAATCGTGATCACCTTAATCGGCCTTAGTTGCAACCTTTTTGGGGGTTGTCTTAATTGCAGCTTACCGGGCATTGGTTTAGTCCCTCATTGAATATAGATGACTTAAAAAAAGCTTATTAAGTTTGATCATTACTCACCTTAAAAGCAAGTTTATGTGGGTTGAGTTTGGCTGCAAAACCAAATTCTTGATTTGCATTATTTTAGGAACATGGTGATAAAATTGCCACCCATAGATCATGGAGGAGGGTATTATTATTGTTAGAAAAGCTATTAAGGTATCTTTTGTTCAACTTTTATAAAGTTGTTTCTTGTGTGTTATCAAACTTTAGGATTTCACTTTTTATCTCCATATGTAATCTTCTAATCATTATTGTTGCATATACATACATATATGTGTGTGTGTGTGTGTATGTTCAGATAAACTTGTTTAGTGTGAGTCGAATCACTCGAGCATTATTTAGAATAACTCTCAAACTTAATTTGGTATTAGAGCAAGTTGATCCTACTTTGGCACTATTCAAGGTTAACCACAGTCTTCTGTTGCCTTTTGTCCCCATTGGTCGTTGTCTCTATCTGGCAACCTTCGGATTTGGTGTGTATAGTGACACCCAACCCTAGTGGTTGCAAAAGAAAAAACAACCTCACGTTTCTCCATGCGCCTCCTCTTTGTGTGGTTAGATCAAGCACATGAATGTGTGTTTCATGCACTTCCTTGTTGTGACCAGAGTGATGCTATGACTTTTCACGATTTCAAGCACATTGATCCCCATAGGGAGAGGTTCCACATATCCTGCTTGTGCAGCGAATGGATCAGTATCAATTTTCATTTCCTTCTCCTCAAAATCCAAGCGATCATCAGTAATCGTTTTCTCGATCATGTCCCTGAAACGTACACAATTGTTAGTCCAGTGACCATACATGTTGTGATACTTACAAAATTTTTTCCTTTTCATTGTTCAAAAGGAGGAATTTTATGATGTTCCGGAAGTGTAATTTGCTTATCTTTCAATAAAATATCGAATACTTTATCGGCTTTCGTTACATCGAAACTATATTTTCTATTCGATCCGGCCTCTATATTTTCCCCAGCTTTTAATAATTGGCATTGATAGGTTGGCCCGAGTTGCAATTCAGCTAAGATCACTTCCATTTCTTCATTTAGACTCTCAAAATTATCATCGTTAACGTCCATACTGTCAAAATATGCCACTTTCTCTTTTCAAACGAACTTGTCAAATTTTCTCAACCTTTCTTTCTCTGCTCGAATTTGTTCAATTCGTCTCACTTTCTCTGCTAGTTGCCGCCAAGCTTGACCTAATTTCCCTCCTATAATTGTATCTCTTCCCTCCATGTAAAAACACTTTTGAATATATGAGAATCTGAATTGCTTCAGTCATTTTCAAGAGTCACCGAATCACCCAAGAGAGAACCTTAGAGAGTGCCTTCAAAATTCCCTTAGGAAAACCTAGTTTCCTTCCCTTTGTATTCATTGTATTCATTAGACCAATGTATTTCGGTCATTAGATTAGGATTATATGAAGAATACATTAATAGGAGAATTAGGTTTCATTTATGCATCATTTAGAAGTAATTTGAGTTGAATTTGAGTCACATGGATGGCATGTAGTAGTTCCGGCCATGTGAGCTCAAATTCACTTCAAATCACTCCTAAATGACACCTAAATGAAGGTAGCAATCCGGTTTAAGCATGTGAGTGGCCAAAGTTTGAATTTCAAATT